AAAGAACGTCGAAAACGGAGTTCGTATGAGAAAGATATGAATTTTTGAAGTTTGTTAATTAATTTAAATATAAATTAAATTAAATCCCGGTATTATCCGAAGGAGGAGTCACCGGTCCGATCCCTCGTACGCCCAGCGTACTCGGATGCTAGGCTCCGGTTCGTCCACGTCGCTCCAATGCTTCGACCGAGGATGCGCTCATGCATGACGCATGAGTACGCAGCGCGTACTCTAGTACGCCCCGCGTAACGCAACCCCCTCAGACCCCTATAAATAGCATGCGAGGGTGCCGGCCAAAATTGCTAATTTCCTTCCTTTCTCGCGCCGAAGCTCTGCGTTTCAACCCTCGGAATCATCCCAAAGGCCCGGCTTTCATATCCAAGGTGGGAAGAAAGTTTTACACTCCCGAGACTCCCGAGATTTCCCGAGAATCTCGAGAGATCCGCTTTCTCGAGTAGAAGTTCTGCTCGGTTTTCGTCACGCATTCTTCAATCAATCAGGTGAGTTCATACCCCTATAATCCACACTTTTAAATGTTTTATGAATATTTTTATATGCTTTTAAGGGGGGGAATACAAGTAAAACACACGATGATTATCGTATGTTATATAAAGTTTCGTTTTATACTTTTTATCAACGGAATCATATGTGATTTATAATCATTATAAAGAAACTTTTGTGTGCAAAATGCATCACGATAATATCATATCTTTCGGAAATTGAAAAGTGTTGTTATTTATATATAAATCAAACACTCCGCTTATACTGTATGTATATGTGTCCACCTTTGGTACTACAAACATACGATTATTTTAGTACTACAAACATACGATTATTTTGGTACGAAAAACATCAATATTTTGGGATACTTCTTGTTAATAAATCAATCATATGTGATTTATAACTAGTATACAAATAGATTCACTACAAGTTCAACAGTTTCACTAAACATATTACTTTAAATGACTTTCTTAAACGTTTTTACATGATTAAAGCTCGTTATCAAACTGTCTTACATACTGTAAGCTTCCTTTCAAAATCGGTTACAAAGGTGTTTTCAAACAATGGTTTTACGTGTACTTAAACTGTCTTATCAAACAAAATACTTTCAATCATTTTATAAACTGACATCAAGTCACAAACCTTTATTAGACTTTTCAACGGTTTTACAAAACTTCTTTATGCTTTTATATTATAAATTGCATGCCTCTATATGTATAGTTATATAAGAAATGTTTAAAAGACTTAGAAAGGCTATCCACCCTATTTCCTTTTCGCGCCTTGAGATGTGGTCTGGTGGGATATTGGGTATTCGTCCGAAAGTCGTTTAAATATTAGTTATATATCATGTATACATATATGGTCATAAATGTTCCCTCAGTAATTTAGTTCCGATACAAATAGATATCAATGGTGTATAAACCTACTTGGTCACTCATCAATTACATTCTAGTAAACTATTATAGGAATAGTTTAGAGTAAACAAAACATTTTCACTACTACAAGAAATTACACCAGAGTCAGTTCATTCATGAGTCCAGACTACATGTTATATGAAGGAATACTCTTACTTGAATACTTATACATGAATACTTATACATGAATACTTTTACATAGACATTATATGGCAATTTAATATTACATGTTATATGTCTAGATATGGTTATATTGTTCGCCTTTCTATCTTTACCTTGTGATTCAATCACATCATCGACGAGGTAGACTGGGACTTTATCTCCTAGTACCACATCATACTTTGAGGGACTAACCATTCCGACAACCACTGCTAGCTACAGAGGTAAATGAACAATCTACGGATGTTCTAGGTTGATACCATCGTGGGTATACATAAGGGACTAACTATTCCTACACCCGGCTGTTAGCAACAGAGGTAAATGAGCAGTCTACGGATGTTCTAAGTTGATACCATTTCAGGTATACTTAAGGGGCTACTAATAAGAGTTAAACAAGGAAAAACCATCACATTTTCAAGAGATAC